TTGTCGACCACATTCACATATGCTACTTTCTCTTTGTTCTTGCTTGCCATCCGTAGGAGAGCAAGGTGTTTGCTTCCTGCATGGAGGTCGTCAGGAATTTGAGGTAGTCCTGACTGACCTATAAGTTTCCGGAAGTTAAGCAGAACTTTGGGCCAATTTTCTAGTTTGTCAAAACCCTGCAAGCAAGGAAAATTAACTTGAGGATCAGAATATATATAAATCAACGTACAACAATCTTTTCACTATCCTGCTCAGACTTGTTGAAAGACAAGGGGGGAAGCAGGCGAATGGGAGGTTGTGAAACACCAATTTCGCAGTCAAGAGCCAAGACCTCAAACATTCGATATGCAGAAACAATGGAAGCAAGGGTTTTGTACTCCCCCTTTGATGATGCAGTCATCACCGTTGGATGTAGGGTGACCGCATTGGATGCTTTCAGGACATCTAAGCCTAGAAGCGGTGCCAATTCGTTAGAATCGACCGCAAGTTTATCAAAGGCAAAGAGCGAGCGCTCAAATCGATTTAGCGAATTGATGAAGTGCTGAAAGCAGTCTGTTAAGTTACAATCGAGGCCACAGAGAAATAAAGTACCTTGTGAGGTGACATTATTTCAGTGAAGTCAGCCAAAGGCTTTGGCACTTGTACAACATGTGGTGTGGCCCAAGGAAAGGCTGAGAACACAGGTGAGACAGCACGGCATTCTGAAGGACCTGAAAGGGGTGAACCAGTGTAAGTGCTTGCTTTAGTGAGAGTGGAATTAGTACAGACAGTTTACCACGTGAGCCGAACTGGATGTGTCAGAGTCCATAGCAGATTTCAAGTAGAAGAGATGGTGGCTGAAGGGAGGTCGACGTCAATAGGGACAAACGAAACTACCGCGCGCGCGGTGGTTTCGTTTGCATTTGTTTGATTTCGGTGATCATGCCCTTGAGCTCAAAGATTTAGTTAATAGTTTGCATTTCCAGTATTGTACGTCCCTTCTACAGGACTACTCGACGCAGCACGAGGAAACTACATAATCTGACAAAAAAAGCGTCAAAAACTAACGTGTAACTCCCTCCCCAAACACGCTGTCATCTCACATCGCACCGGAGTTAAACATCTTGGAAAGGGGGAGTGTCAAAGTCGTTGATAGGGTATCGAGCTGAACGTTTTGGAAAGGGGGACTGATACGTGAGAGGATAGGTCGACGTTGTTGACGGGGTATGAATGTCGTTGACAGGGTAATGTGGGGGAATGATACGTGAGCAGATGGCTCGACGTCATTGACAGAGTAACGTGTTGGAAAGAGGGAGTGATAAGCGAGCGAACGGCGCCGAATTTGAGACAGAGGGTGCTGGTGAAGCCGTTGACGTAGGCAACGATGAACTTGGTGCGGATGAACGTACAACACGACGCCCCAAGCTAAACGTTTTGGCCAGGGGGAGTGATACGCGAGCGGATGGGGTCATATAGACAGAGGAGTGATATGCAAGCGGATGGCTCGACATCGTTGACGGGGTACCCAGCTAAACATGTTGGAAGGGTGACTGATACGCAAGCGGATGCCATCGCTCGACGTCGTGTAGTGGATTCTAATCAGGTGGATGTTAGTTGAATGAGGTGCATATAAACGCACCGCAGCACGACGGCCTTCCTTCAACTTTGCACCACACGTCCCCAACCTCTTCAACACCATCTTGTCTGCTCGTCTGGGGGGCCATCGTACCGCGAGATTTGAGCCCTGGAAAAAGAAACTTCGTAGATGGAGAGGAGGGCAACGAGGTGCGAGCGGAAACGGTCTGTTGTCGCCACGTTGTTCACTTGAATTGTGGTGGTCGTGTAGGTAACATAGGGTGCCGTTGCCGTTGACTGGAATGCCGTTGACTGGAATGCCGTTGACGCAGTCGATGTCTTTGCAGCCCTCGTCGACAACGCGAGGGCTGCAAATACAATGTTTCTGCGGATTAAATGAATGTTAGAGAAACGGGGTGCTGACGAACATACGAAAAATACCTCTTTGAAGGCTTACATGGCACCTAGACTGTGCGTCAAAGAAAGAACGTGGAGGGGACGGTTCTTTCTTTCTCACCTGGGCCCACAGAAGTGATTTGTCGTTCAGTTGGCACGTCGCTGACTGCGACATGGCACCTCGCCGCTCCCTCGTGTTCCACCTTTATGTCTCATTCGCCGTCATCATACCTCATCATTCACCATTGCCATTCGCTGTCGTCGTGCATCGTCGTTCGCTGTCGTCGTGCAGTGTCGTCCGCTGTCGTCGTGCATCGTCGTTCTCCGTCGTCGTGCATTGTCGTTGTCGTCATGCATCGTCTGCTAAGGCTGATCCACGTCATGATGACAGCGTCTGGTTCAAACAAATGCAAACGAATCCACCGCGCGCGCGGTGGATTTGTTTGTTCAAGTTGAACGACGTCTGGATAAGCAACAACGCCAAATTATGACGTGCGCCAG